ACCCAGCCATGAGACACCCCCAGGTCTCATGAGGACAATGAAAATGGTCCTGGTCCCAAATCCAGCTATACCCAGGCATCAGCTGTACTGGGAACACTGGGGTGCCTAGCCCTGGCTGTACTGGGGCCACTGGGGTACCAGCTCTGGGGTACTGGAATCGGTGGGGTATCAACCCTTATCTGCACTGGGGTCACTGGGGTACCAGCTCTGGGGTACTGGGATCAGTGGGTTATCAACCCTCATCTGCACTGGGGTCACTGGGGTACCAGCCCTATTGGCACTGGGGTCACTGGGGTACTCTGGCTCTCACAGCGCCATCTCCCCACCAGGTCCTACCTGGGCAGCTTTGCCATCAAATTGTCACTCCCGGTCACCTGGGCCTGGCACCCACCGCCCATCCCCAGTGCCCACCCCATCGGCCTTGCCCCTGCCCACCTCCACCCTCCTCCTCCTCCCTGCTGGTGATGCCCAGCGCAGGGTGCCCGTGGGCACCTAGTGGGGTGTCACCCTCCCTCCCTGTCCCCGCAGAGTGGCCAGGAGCTGTGGCAGTGGCTCTGGGCGGTGCGGCAGGCCAGCAGCGCCAATGAGGCCATGCTGCCCACTTGCCACCCAGGCACCTTCCGCGCCAGCCGCTGGACCTGCTGCCTGCAGCCTGCCTGCACCGGTAAGGCCAGCAGGCAGCATAGGGTGGGGGATCCTTTGGGCAGGGGGTGTGGGGGTCCCCTGGCACCCTGACTGCGTTTGTTGTTGGCAGCGCCCGGCTGTAGCCGGACCCATAGCACCGTGGCACTGGGTGAGTGGAGCGACCCCCTGGACCCTGCGGCAGCGGCGCAGACCCTCTATGGGCACCTCCAGCGGGCAGGGGCCAGGCTGCGGTGAGGCTGGGGGGGGGGCCTGGACCAGGCCTGGGGGACCCCAGGGTGCTGGTGCCAGGGTGGGAGCGTGCTGAGGGTCCCTCTCCTGCAGGGCGACGGGGGCCGAGGGTCCCAAGGGCAGCACAGCAGCTGAGCCCCCCAGCCTGGGGCAGGCAGGTAGGGGCGGCCCTGCCGCGGGGGTGATGGGGACCCTGCACCTCAGGGTGCTGCCTGGGGCAGCCCCTGCGTGGGGCAGCTGGCATGCACAGGCACACGCATGCACACACTGGTGCACAATTCCATCTGCATGCACGCACTTGCACATGCACGCACATGCTTGCACATGCCACTGCACACTTGCATATGCACGCACACACTTCCATATGCACGCACACACTTGCACATGCATGCACACACTTGCACATGCACAAACAGGCTTGCACACGCATTCACAGCACTCAGCTGGTCCCCTCCACCAGGGGACAGCAAATACACACGGCCATGGCCACAAGGACCCGGGGACACCCGCCCAGACCCCCGCCCACGCACGCGTGCGCACACACGGATGTGTGGGTACACCCACAGCTGCAGGCACACGCACCCCCCCTTCCACCCT